AAGGACTTGTTTGGAATCAGTGACAGTTGGTAGGTATGAAGCATGAGTGGTGTGCGTTTTGCCGCGACTGCGGTGTGACTCGGGATTATGGGCTGAGGGTGATGATTTCTGCCTGCGCTTAAAAATTGTGAATGTTTTTTGTTCATTTTATGTGTAGACCCAAAACAATTCGTCTTCTCCCGATGGAAGGCCAGAAGGTCGGACACCCCCGGATCCAGGCAGCTGGAATTCAAATGCAGCCAAACAATGCATCCCTGCCCTTGTAGCTGCAAGATCTGTCTCCCATGATGATCTGTCCCCCTGAAGCAACTGCACATGTCACGGTTTTAGGCATAAGAAGCCGATCGCCAATCAACAACCATAACACAGAGCTGCCCCAGTTAACCCCTTTTCTGCTGCACTGCTGATTATACTTACACGCACCGCTGATCCCACGGATCACTAGCCGCCGATGCTCCAGAAAGATGGATCAAAGATGCTTATTGGGGAGCATCATGGATCGTAGAGAGGACAGTTACATGGGGGGGGGGGGGGGGGTGACATGGGAGGACACTAACAATGGGGGGGCCAGTGACATGAGGGGGGGGGATGACATGGGGAGGACAGTGACGTGGGGGGGCTGACATGGGGAGGACAGTGACATGGGGGGGGGGACGTGACATGGGGAGGACAGTGACATATGGGGGGGGGTTCAGTGACATGGGGGGGACATAAGAGGCGGAGGACAGTGACATGTGGGGGGCCAGTGACATGAGGGGGGGACTGACGTGAGGACAGTGACATGTGGGGGACAGTGACATGAGGGGAGGGAATGACATGGGGAGGACAGTGACATGGGGAAGACACTGACGGGGGATCAGTGACATGGGGGGGCCATAACGTGGGGGGACAGTGACATAAGGGGGGGGCATGACATGCGGAGGACAGTGACGTGGGGGGCCAGTGACATGAGGGGGGGGGGCTGACATGGACTGACAATGAGATCCTCCAGCCACTGGGGAGATCCTGCAACCATTGTCCAACCACTTGGAATGCAGCTTCTCTCCAGCAGAAACTGGGTGTAGCACTGGAGCTCAGAGTCAACCTATCTATTCTGGTCTTAGTCCCTAGTAGTTTCTTATCTGTTATGCAACCAAACTCCTAACTACCAGCAGTTGGTGTCAGATGGTAAGCCTGGCTGGGGGGGCTAAAGCTGATTATTGAACCCTAAGCTAAAACTAGCTATAGAATCCCTGTGGGGACAAAGTTAAATAAAATTTGGGAGCTGCACATAAGACTCTTGAAAAAAAAGGGGGTTAATATCAGTGACCTCTACACACATACAGTCCCTGACATTGGACGTCTTTGGTCTTTGGGGGGACAGTGTAACAAACATGAAATTAGCAGCACTGCCTTTAAGAGATCTAATCTCAGCTTGTATGAAAGACACCTGGTGAAATCCTGCTGAATGAAAGGGGATCAAATACTTATTTCCCTCATGAACATGCAAATCAGTCATCATTTGTTAGACATGTATTTCTTTTGAATTTGTTGTTGCTATTCTGTCTCTCAGTGTTACAATACACCTACCATTCGATTTTTAGACTGATCATTTCTTTGTGAGTGGGCAAACATTGAAAATCAGCAGGGGATCAAATATCAAATATTTCCTTCACTGTAAAAATTATTTTTGATATTTTCTGAATGTTAATGATATTTCTTAAAATGTGTCTAAACCCTACAACAAAAACGTAATATATTGCAGCTTACCAGTCCCTCGATGTGGTGTCTGCATGTGTTTTCATTTTCATTTATTTATTTATTTTCACCTTGTGGTCCTGCTGGTAACACACTTACTGTCCCAAGGTGATAACATACAGTCAGTGTATACATGGAGTAGTGTTGTCACGCTAGGACAGTAAGGGGGGAATTTATCAAAACCAGAGCATAGAGACTCTGGATCACCTTTGTATGGCAATCAATTTACTTCTATATTGCTCATTTAAAGAATATGTTACCCCTACATTTCATATTCCTGATATCTGCCTGCCCTACCATGTACTTGTATGAAAAATTATCCTGTTCTCTTTGTATTGCTTACTTTGTATGAAATCCCTGATGTTCCTGACAGTCCCTCTGCTTTCCTAATAAAAACTGACCACCTCAGGCATGGGAGCAAAGTGTGGTCAGTTCTCTAGTTGTGCTGGGAACTCAGCCTGCAAACCACCTTTCCAAGCACAGACTATCACTGGGAAGATCAGTGTAATGCTGTTTCTCCGGTCCTACCTCTTATGCAGCTGAGAACAGATGTAATTATTTTATCGACATCCGTAGCCGCCAATGGCGGCATGGGTGGGGCGACGCGCGTGCACCCCCTACCCAGAAATGCAAAATCACATATATATACATGATTTTGTGCAGCCATGCCACCCTGTAGCAGTAGTTCTGCTATAGGGCAGTAGGGAAGCAGTTAAAATACACACCTGCAGCGGTTCGTATGAACGGGGTGCGATTATGATGCGGTGCAGAAATTGCACAGAAAACGGTTCAAATTCCGCACCGCTTCAGTGTGAACCCGGGCTCCATGTGTGTTAGGACTAGAGAACAACTCCCCCTCTCCTCTTCTCTATAAAATAAGGGGTAGGTGTTCTGTAGTTCATAGAGGTGAACTAGGCAGGCTGATAGCTTAGTGGGTTAAAGTGTGTTAAACTCTAATTGGATTTCTTGCAGGAACATGCTTTTGTTTGCAATTACTCAACAGATAAAACAAAACACTTTTAATGGAATACATAAGCCCCTTTCACACGGGGCGGACTCCGTTAGGATCAGCAGGGGATCTGTTTGCTGATCTCCTGCCATTCAGTGCAGTGCAGGCGGATGACAGGTCTGTGTCTGCTCAGTTTATGCAGAGCAGACACAGACCGAGCCCATTCTGCTTTATGGGCAGCCCTCCAATACGATTCGCCTAGATGGAGGGGGATGGATCCCCTTCAATTTTATTTGGCAGACCGAGTCAGATTGGAGGCATTCGGGTTCACATCTGCAGGTCCATAGGGGTGAATGGAGGGTCCGATCAGGCCTATCTGAACTGAGAGGTGGACTTGATCGAAGTCTTCGTGTTAAAGGGGCCTAAGAACCCAAAAGCGAGCAAATCAGAGAAGTTCATAGTTAGGGTTTACATACACTTTAAAGCGGACCCCCGCCCACTAATGGCACCTTCTCTCTTCTGCCCCCCCCCCTTACACAATTGGATAATTTATTTTGAACATGAAATTTATTTTTTTTTAATTTTTTAGTGAATATACTTCCTGAATCTTTGCCTATGCGAGAATGATGTGTCCAGCCACCCGCTGCCTTCTGGGATGTCTGCACACGTCCCAGGAGGCAGCATTTTGGTGTGTCAGTACTTGCGCATGCGCAGACCCACAGTCACAAGTCTCCGCCAGTCTATGGGCACTAACAGACAACCATGGCGATCTGCGCAAAGAGGGAGATCATGGCATGTCTGTACATGTGCCGGATCTCATTCCAAGATGGAAGCACAGAAGCAGAGTGAGGAAGATGAACTTTGAGTCCTCCTGCGCACTTGACGTTTCTACAGCTTCTCTTTTTGGCTTTTGACGTTTTTTTCTACAGCCATGCACACACAGACTGTAATCAACATTTTTTGGCAGGGACATTTTTTGGCTGGAAAAAAAAAAAACCCAGGACTAGTGGGATTCTAGAGGAGTTTTTTAGCTGTAAAAACGCTCTAAAACGCCACAAACCAGCATTTTTGAAATTTTTTTGACCAACAAAAAAAAAATTATAAAAAACGCGGCAAACTGCCACTAAACGCTAATGAAAAAGCGATTAAAAAAACATTTTTAACATGACTTTACACAGCTAACGTTACTAGCGTTATCAAAATGTCCCGTGTGCATGAGGACTAAATGGAATATAATGCTGGACTCCATGGAGTAGTATGTTGTAACCATGTTTTTTTTTCATTTACATACAAGGACAATTATTAGGGAGTAGAAATACAATTTTAGCTAGGTAGGGTGAAGTCTCTCTTTAAGGCCCCAACCATCACTGACCAAGTTCAAACATCAGGAGGTATGCTTTAAAGTGGTTGTAAACCCTTACATATACTCAATGAAGGGACTGGCCTCAGGTGATACGCAGAGAAGACACAAATTCTCCTACATAAGTTGTACCTGTTTATCTGCAGTATTCTCTACAATTGTTCAAAGTGCTACATTTATAAAGCTTGTGTGAGCTTTCAGGGGGCAAATAAGGGGGTGGGGACCTGAGGTTACAATCTGCAGAGTGCAGTGAGAGCTGATTGGAGGGAAGGGACACCCCCCCTCTTCACACAGCACACAGGATCAGATCTGAGGCTGTCAATCTGCTGGAGGTCCCTCCCCTGTCACCATTTTTCTCTTGGTGTCAGAAGTGACTCATGCTGATGAGCAAAAGAAGGAGGCAGCAGAAAGAAATGACACTTAGTGCTCTGGACTGAAAAACACAATATAGAGCAGCGGTTCTCAACCTGGGGTCGCGACCCCTTTGGGGGTCGAACGACCATTTCCCAGGGGTCGCCTAAGACCATCGGAAAACACATAATTCCGATGGTCTTAGGAACCGAGACACCGCTGCTGTCTCCGGCGATGTGTGGGCGGGATGATATGCTGCCCCTGTCACCGCCTCCTCGCCGCTGATTGGCCACCGGAACTGTAGCTCAGGAGAGGCACACAGGCGGCCAATCACCGGCGAGAAGGTGGAGCTTGGAGAGGAGGAGCCGAGCGGCAGCACGCGGAGATCGAAGAAGATCGAGGGAGCTGCAGGAACGAGTGAAGAGAGAGGCCAGAGAAGGAAGACAGCTGACAGGTAAGTGCAAATTTTGCTGCTGCAGCCAGGTATGCAGGCTGTAGATGGGAGAGGGAGAGAGCGAGCCCAGGCTGGAGCAGGAGTCAGCAAGGTAAGTATCATTGGTGTCAGTAGAAGGGATAGTGCCCCATCATTTGTGTCACTAATACCAACGATGGGGCACTATTCCTCCCCCCACTGACACCAACGATGGGGCACTATTCCTCCCCTCACTGACACCAACGATGGGGCACTATTCCTCCCCTCACTGACACCAACGATGGGGCACTATTCCTCCCCCCCACTGACACCAACGATGAGACAGTATTCCTCCCCTCACTGACACCAACGATGGGGCACTATTCCTCCCCCACTGACACCAACGATGGGCACTATTCCTCCCCTCACTGACACCAACGATGGGGCACTATTCCTCCCCCCACTGACACCAACGATGAGACAGTATTCCTCCCCTCACTGACACCAACGATGGGGCACTATTCCTCCCCCCACTGACACCAACGATGGGGCACTATTCCTCCCCCCACTGACACCAACGATGGGGCACTATTCCTCCCCCCACTGACACCAACGATGGGGCACTATTCCTCCCCCCACTGACACCAACGATGGGGCACTATTCTCCCCCCACTGACACCAACGATGGGGCACTATTCCTCCCACTAACGCCAATGATGGGGCACTATTCCTCCCACTGATACCAATGATGGGGCACTATTCCTCCCACTGATACCAATGATGAGGCACTATTCCTCCCACTCATACCAATGATGGGGCACTATTCCTCCCACTCATACCAATGATGGGGCACTATTCCTTCCACTGACACCAATGATGGGGCACTATTCCTCCCACTCATACCAATGATGGGGCACTATTCCTTCCACTGACACCAATGATGGGGCACTATTCCTCCCACTGATACTAATGATGGGGCACTATTCCTCCCACTGACACCAATGATGGGGCACTATTCCTCCCACTGATACCAATGATGGGGCACTATTCCTCCCACTGATACCAATGATGGGGCACTATTCCCCCCACTGACACCAATGATGGGACACTATTCCTCCCACTGACGCCAATGATGGGACACTATTCCTCCCACTGACGCCAATGATGGGACACTATTCCTCCCACTGACGCCAATGATGGGACACTATTCCTCCCACTGACGCCAATGATGGGGCACTATTCCTCCCACTGACGCCAATGATGAGGCACTATTCCTCCCACTGACGCCAATGATTGGGCACTATTCCTCCCACTGACGCCAATGATTGGGCACTATTCCTCCCACTGACGCCAATGATTGGGCACTATTCCTCCCACTGACACCAATGATGGGGCACTATTCCTCCCACTGACACCAATGATGGGGCACTATTCCTCCCACTGACACCAATGATGGGGCACTATTCCTCCCACTGACACCAATGATGGGACACTATTCCTCCCACTGACACCAATGATGGGGCACTATTCCTCCCACTGATACCAACGATGGGACACTATTCATCCCACTGACATCAGTGATGGGGCGCTAGTCCTCCCACTGCAAAATTACAGTTATGAAGTAGCAACGAAAATAATTTTATGGTTGGGGGTCACCACAACATGAGGAACTGTATTAAGGGGTCGCGGCATTAGAAGTTGAGAACCACTGCTATAGAGGGATATGCTTTGTTTATATTTCATGTCTGAGGTTGACAACCACTTTAAAGCGGAGTTCCACTCACCCTTTCAAAAAATAAGGGTGCGACTTGCCATGCGATTTGCAAGTCGCATGGCATGGCAAATTGCATGCCAAGTCGCACCCGATGTGACCGGAGTCTTAAAGCGGAGTTCCACTCACCTGTCAAAAAATAAAAGTCAGCAGCTACAAAAACTGTAGCTGCTGACTTTTAAAAAACAGCCACTTACCTGTCCCTCACTCCCTCGGTGAGTCCCCCGAAGCCCATTTCACCGGCCGTCCTGTATTCCTGGAGACCGATATCTCCAGTGTGGGCACCCGGCTGTGACAGCTTGCGGCTTCACAGCCGGGTACCCACTGCGCATGCGTGAGAAGCGCTGCGCTTCATGAATGGCCCTGTTGTCTTCTGGGACCTGTCACGTGTACCAAAAGACTACAGGAAGGGAGGGAGGACACCTTCTGCTCCGGTTGCCTAGGCGATTGGACCGGAAGTGGGAGCGGGTACCTGTCAAATTCGGGTGCCCGCTCCCCCCCCCACCCCCAAAGGTGCCAATCCTTAATGGGGAGCAGTCCTTAAAGCGGAACTTTCCCTTTTGGGTGGAGCTCCACTTTAAAGCATATTCACCCTTTGGCATTTGAATTAGAGAAGACCCCACTATGTGTTTGCTGTGTGTTCCCATTCACACGACATCCCTAAAGTAAATAAATAAATGGAAATCCCTACCTTTTAGCTGTTTCTCAGGAGGAGGTGATGGCTGACTCCAAGTTTTTTTTAAATGATGTTAAAGTGAGCCTGTCCCAAGTCTGTCCTTATTAACATACAATGCAAGAAGCCCAGTCTCTACACCATGATGTCTTTGTTAAGACAGACACCCTGGAATTCATAAAGATTTTGCAAAAGTGTCTTTAATGCATTCTAAAAGGGGTGAAGAATGAGCCCAATGCATGTACCTGTCCAGAACTTGTACTTGAATTTGGCTCAGGCTGTGCACGTGAGACACATTCACAAAATCTGTCTGAGTCAGTGTTTCTCTGCACGTCGAAAGAGAGTTGGTCCTAATTAGCGCCACTTTTATATTAGGCGCATTCAATGCAACACAACGTAAAAGTGAGTCACTGTCAGAACCAAAAGTGTTGCAAATACTTCATGAATTTGGAGTAATACAGAGGGATTAAAGTGGTTCTAAAATCGTTACATATACCCAGTGAAGTGAGTGGCCTCAAGTGATACACAGGGATGAAAGAATTCCTCCTATATAAGTTGTACCTGTTTACTGCTGCCTTCTCTTCTCTACATATGTTCAAAGTGCATAATTTATACAGCTTGTCAGAGAGTTCAGAAAAAAAAGGGGTGGAGAGCTGAAATTACACTCTGCAGAGCTCAGTGAGGAAAGCTCTGAGAGCTGATTGGAGGAAAGAGACCCCCCCCCCCCCCCTCCACACAGCACACAGGAACAGATCTGATGCTCTCAATCTGCTAGAGGTCCCTCCCCTGTCACCATTTTTCTCTTGGTGTCAGGAAACCTTGTCAGAAGTGACTGATGCTGATAGCAGAGGAACAGAGTAGCAGACAGAAATTACACTTAGTGCTCTGGATTGAGACAAGTACACACTATAGAGGGATATGCTTTGTTCATATTTTGTGTCTGAGGTTTCCAACCATGTTAACACCAGAAAAGTGGTGCAGTGGCTTTTGTGAATTACGCTCCCAGTGTTCAGATCTAGTTACAATGGATAATGGAGCTCTGCCTGCACAGTACAGACAGGGTTAACAATGGCAAACAGCTGCCCAGCCCCCTCATAAGCAAAGAGAAGTATGTAGGATTTCTCCTTGACATTTGGTTCACACTGATGTGGTGCGAAATTCACAGCATTTTCAGTGAAAATTCTGCGCCGTATCAGAATCGCACCCCGTTCATGCAAACCGCTGCGGGTGTGTATGTTAACAGCACCCCGAAAGTGGTCCGCAAAAACGCGGTGCGATGTGCAGAATCGGATCGCATAAGTGTGAATACCCATGTGATCTGATTCTAGTGTGGACCCAAAAAAGGGTTCTGCATGTTTTTGGTGCGAGTGATGTATGGTTCCAATCGCACCACACACAAATCGCATGTGATTTGCACAGGAATGCGGTGTGGTTCGTTTGTGAATCACATGCTATGTACCGCACCGCATATATGTGAACCCGGGCTTAAAGAGGCTCCATATTAGAGCACCTAAAAGAGGTATTGTGAAATATTGCTTTATGAATGGGGACATGAAGCAAATATACCGTAGGCGTGCCGTCAAATTGGCTGCAAAAGTGGAAATACACTTCAAAGCGGAGTGGCACCCAAAAGGGGAAGTTCTGCTTTAAGGACTGCTACCCTGCTCCCCATTAAGGATTGGCACCTTCGGGAGTGGGGGGGGAGCGGGTACCCGAATTTGACAGGTACCCGCTCCCACATCCGGTCCGATCGCTTAGGCGATCGGAAGCAGAAGGTGTCCTCCCTCCCTCCCTGTAGTCTTTTGTGACACGTGACAGATCCAGAAGACTACAGGACCATTCTTGAAGTGTAGCGCTACTCGCACATGTGCAGTGGGTACCTGGCTGTGAAGCCGCAAGTATCGCAGCCGGGTGCCCACACTGAAGATGCCGGCCTCCTGGAATCCAGGACGGCACTATGGGACTGAGGGACAGGTAAGTGGCTGTTTTTTAAAAGTCAGCAGCTACAGTTTTTTTTGTAGCTGCTGACTTTTATTTTTTGAAAGGGTGAGTGGAACTCCGCTTTAAAGTGGTTGTCAACCTCAGACATGAAATATAAACAAAGCATATCCCTCTATAGTGTGTATTTCAGTCTAGAGCACTAAGTGTCATTTCTTTCTGCTGCCTCCTTCCTTTGCTCATCAGCATGAGTCACTTCTGACACCAAGAGAAAAATGGTGACAGGGGAGGGACCTCCAGCAGATTGACAGCCTCAGATCTGATCCTGTGTGCTGTGTGAAGAGGGGGTGTGTCCCTTCCCTCCAATCAGCTCTCACTGCGCTCTGCAGATTGTAACCTCAGGTCCCCATCCAGATTTCTGAAATCTCACACAAGCTTTATAAATGTAGCACTTTGAACAGATGTAGAGAAGACGGCAGATAAACAGGTACAACTTATGTAGGAGAATTTGTGTCTTCTCTGCGTATCACCTGAGGCCAGTCCCTTCATTGAGTATATGTAAGGGTTTACAACCACTTTAAAGCATACCTCCTGATGTTTGAACTTGGTCAGTGATGGTTGGGGCCTTAAAGAGAGACTTCACCCTACCTAGCTAAAATTGTATTTCTACTCCCTAATAATTGTCCTTGTATGTAAATGAAAAAAACATGGTTACAACATACTACTCCATGGAGTCCAGCATTATATTCCATTTAGTCCTCATGCACACGGGACATTTTGATAACGCTAGTAACGTTAGCTGTGTAAAGTTGGCTGTGTCGGGTGTGACTTGGCATGCAATTTGCCATGCCATGCGACTTGCAAATCGCACGGCAAGTCGCACCCTATTGTTTGCAATTACAGCGGTCATATCTGTGATTCCGACTTGGTCGAAGCCGCACTGATTTTTAAAGTACTGCATGCACTACATTAGGTGCAACTGGCATAGACATCTGCATCTTGTAAGCCACACCTCAAGACTGACATCCAACTTTGACATCGTGCGACCGGGGTGTAAAGATGACCATACACGTGTAGATTTTCGGCCAGGAATATTTGTAAGAAAAGTCATACAAAAATTCTTCGCACATTCGATAAATGGATGAATGTTGTTCAAAAATTTTCTTTTGCTTTTAACATTCGATTTTAAAATGAATGTCATTTCTGAACAATGACCACAATGACCACATACACTGGAGGAAAATATGATTGAGTAAAGTTTTCTGTCCTGCCCCTTCGATTTTTTCCCATTACTGCTGTTGAAAACAAACAACGATTTGAACCCACTAACGAAAAAAATCAAACAGATATTCTTGAAACAAATATTCTCATCCAAAAATCTACACGTGTATGGCCAGCATGGATTTGCAGTGCGATTTGTAAGAGTCCGGTGAGTTTCGTTCAGTGGTTTAGGTGCGATTCCAACATGAATTGTTAAAGTGTATGACATTGGAAATCCCACCTGAACTGGACTGACTTCACACTGATGCGATGCTGAATATGCACAGGTTTCTTTGTGATTCCCATACTGCATCAAAATCGCACCCCGTCCATGCAAACCACTGCGGGTGTGTATGTTAACGACACCCAGAAATTGGTTCGCAAAATACAGTGCAGATTCGGATCGCAAGGGTGTGAACACTCACATGATCCGATTCTGGTGTGGACAAAAAAGGGTCCTGCACAGGGGCAGACTGACAACTCATGGGGCCCCCAGGCAATAGGGGATCATGGGGCCCCTGTGTCCTTGCCCAAACTCAACAAAGCCTATGAAAAAGGTACCAGGGGCATCTCATGGGGCCCCCTACTGACCCTGGGCCCTCGGGCAGTGCCTGAGTTTCCTAACAGTCAGTCCGCCCCTGGTACTGCACGATTTTGGTGTGAATTGAAAATGTATGGCTCAAACTGCACTGCACAGAAATCGCATGTGATTCGCACAGCAAGGCGGTGCGAATCACATGCGATGTGCAATGTGAACCAGAGAGGCCACCATACCTCCCCATAGGAAAAATCACTAACACTGTGTTCACAACATATAATAACATGGCTCGTGGTGGGAGTTGGCAAAACAGGAAACAATGTAAACTTTGTGCTGAAACTTCATGTGAAATAACAAGGAAGAGGAAGCCCGGAGCCATTCAGTACAGCCAGTCATAGAGCTCCGGCCGGAACTGATGTGTGGGAGCTGCGGGAGCCGACGGACAGGTTATTGGGTGCACAGCAGAGCCAGCAGCAGGAAGCAGCGTGCGTATTGGAGGAGGCTGAAGGCAGAGGACAGGGGGCAGAGAGGAGTGCAGGCTGTGTGGGGGCAGGATGGTGCAGGGGAGCAGGGTCCTACTGAGGAAGGTATCACGGCAATGGCTCTACATCTCTGTGTATGACTGACAACAGGAATACCTACAATATCTACTCTATATTCTGTGTGTGTATATATGATACGTGTGTGTATACATGTATGTGTGTGATAGATCCTGGCATTACCATAGAATAGCTGCCTGGCAGTGTACACACCTTACCTATTGCCCAACATATATATTAAACCGGAACGTGGGGGGGAGCGCAGTTCTGGCACCTCCAGCACTGAATATATGTAATGGCATAAGATGGTGGGGTGTGCCAGAGGATCTATAGTTGCTGGCTACTGGGGGATTTATTGTTGCAGGGGGGTCTATTGTTGCACGGGGCGGTCCACTGTTGCTATGGCGGTCTATTGTTGCTGGAGGGGGTTTTATGTTGCTGGGGGGTCAATTGTTGGCAGGAGGGATCTACTGTTGAGGGAAGGGTTTATTGTTGATAGCTGTTGGGAGATCTATTGTCACTGGGGTGGATCTGTGGTTACTTGGGAGGTTTTTTGTTGCAGGGAGGGGGGTGTGTCTACTGTTGTTGATTGGGATCTATTGTTGCTCAGGGTCAATAGTTGCTAGGAGGGATCTACTGTTTAGGAGGGGTTTATTGTTGCTGGCTGCTGGGAGATCTATTATTGCTGGGTGGATCTATGGTTACTGGGGAGGTGGTTGTTGCGGGAGGGGGTGTCTACTGTTGTTGATGGAGATCTGTTGTTGGGGGTCAGTTGTTGCTGGGAAGGATCTACTGTTTAGGAAAGGGTTTATTTTTGCTGGCTGTTGGGAGATCTATTTTTGCTGGAGTAGATTTATGGTTACTAGGGAGGTATTTTGTGCGGGGGGGGGGGTCTACTGTTGTTGAGGGTGATCTATTGTCACTGGGGGTCTTATGTTGTTGGGAGGGATTTACAGTTGAGGTAAGGCACTGTTGCTGGCTGCTGTGAGATCTATTGTTTCTTTAGGGGGTCTATTGCTAAGAGTGGATCTGTGGTTACTGGGGATGTATTTTACTGCAGGGTGATCTATTGTTTCTGGGGAGCTCAGTTGCTGGGAGGGATTTACTTTTGAGGGAGGGTTCTATTGCTGCTGGATGCTGGAGGGTCTATTGATGCTGGCTGCTGGGAGATCTATTGTTCATGGTGGGGGCTGTTGTTGCTGGGGAGGTATTTTGTTACAGGGGATCTATTGTTGCTGGCTGCAGGGGATCTATTTTACTGCTTTTCTTGGTATCATTACCAAATTCCATACAAATTAGTATCACCACAAAATTATACTGACTGTATATTATACATGTGGTGTAGTGTATACGATGTGCGTGGTGTAGTGTGTACGAGGTGCGTGGTGTAGTGTGTACGAGGTGCGTGGTGTAGTGTGTACGAGGTGCGTGGTGTGTAGTGTGTACGAGGTGCGTGGTGTAGTGTGTACGAGGTGCGTGGTGTAGTGTGTACGAGGTGCGTGGTGTAGTGTGTACGAGGTGCGTGGTGTAGTGTGTACGAGGTGCGTGGTGTAGTGTGTACGAGGTGCGTGGTGTAGTGTGTACGAGGTGCGTGGTGTAGTGTGTACGAGGTGCGTGGTGTAGTGTGTACGAGGTGCGTGGTGTAGTGTGTACGAGGTGCGTGGTGTAGTAGTGTGTACGAGGTGCGTGTGTGTACGTGTGTACGAGGTGGTGGTAGTGTGTACGAGGTGCGTGGTGTAGTGTGTACGAGGTGCGTGGTGTAGTGTGTATAGGAGGTGCGTGGTGTAGTGTATAGGATGTGCGTGGTGTAGTGTGTACGAGGTGCGTGGTGTAGTGTATAGGATGTGCGTGGTGGTGTAGTGTATACGAGGTGCGTGGTGTAATGTGTATACGAGGTGCGTGGTGTAATGTGTATACGAGGTGCGTGGTGTATGTGTATACGTGGTGGTGCGTGGTGTAGTGTGTGTACGAGGTGCGTGGTGTATGTGTACGAGGTGCGTGGGTGTAGTGTGTACGAGGTGCGTGGTGTAGTGTGTACGAGGTGCGTGGTGTAGTGTGTACGAGGTGCGTGGTTGTAGTGTGTACGAGGTGCGTGGGGTGTAGTGTGTACGAGGTGCGTGGGTGTAGGTGTGTACGAGGTGCGTGGTGTAGTGTGTACGAGGTGCGGTGTAGTGTGTGTACGAGGTGCGTGGTGTAGTGTGTGCGAGGGGTGTGCGTGGTGTAGTGAGTGTGTGCGTGGTGTGGTGTGTAGGTGTGTACGAGGTGCGTGGGTGTAGTGTGTACGAGGTGGTGGGTGTAGTGTGTACGAGGTGCGTGGTGTAGTGTGTACGAGGTGCGTGGTGTAGTGTGTACGAGGTGCGTGGTGTAGTGTATAGGAGGTGCGTGGGTGTAGTGTATAGGATGTGCGTGGTGTAGTGTGTACGAGGTGCGTGGTGTAGTGTATACGAGTGTGCGTGGTGTAGTGTGTATACGAGGTGCGTGGTGTAATGTGTATACGAGGTGCGTGGTGTAATGTGTATACGAGGTGCGTGGTGTAATGTGTATACGAGGTGCGTGGTGTATGTGTATACGAGGTGCGTGGTGTAATTGTGTGTACGAGGTGCGTGTGTGTGTGTACGAGGTGTAGTGTGTACGAGGTGCGTGGTGTAGTGTGTGTACGAGGTGCGTGGTGTAGTGTGTACGAGGTGCGTGGTGTAATGTGTATACGAGGTGCGTGGTGTAATGTGTATACGAGGTGCGTGGTGTGTGTGTACGAGGTGCGTGTGTAATGTGTGTACGAGGTGCGTGGTGTAATGTGTATACGAGGTGCGTGGTGTAGTGTGTACGAGGTGCGTGGTGTAGTGTGAGGTGCGTGTGTGTGAGGTGCGTGTGTAGTGTGTACGAGGTGCGTGGTGTGTGTGTACGAGGTGCGTGGGCGTGGTGGTGTAGTGTGTACGAGGTGCGTGGTGTAGTGTGTACGAGGTGCGTGGTGTAGTGTGTACGAGGTGCGTGGTGTAGTGTGTACGAGGTGCGTGGGTGTATGTGTGTACGTGTGTGGTGCGTGGTGTAGTGTGTACGAGGTGCGTGGTGTAGTGTGTACGAGGTGCGTGGTGTAGTGTGTACGAGGTGCGTGGTGTAGTGTGTACGAGGTGCGTGGTGGTAGTGTGTGGTGGTGTAATGTATAGTGCGTGGTGTAATGTATAGGATGTGCGTGGTGTTGTGTGTACGAGGTGCGTGGTGTAGTGTATACGGGTGCGTGGTGTGGTGTGTAATGTGTATACGAGGTGCGTGGTGTAATGTGTATACGAGGTGCGTGGTGTAATGTATAGGATGTCGTGGTGTGTGGTGTAGTGTAGGATGTGCGTGGTGTAGTGTATACGAGGTGCGTGGTGTAATGTGTATACGAGGTGCGTGTGTAATGTGTATACGAGGTGCGTGGTGTAATGTGGTGTGATGTGGTGAGGTGGTGTAATGTGTATACGAGGTGGTGTGGTGTAATGTATAGGATGTGCGTGGTGTAGTGTATACGAGGTGCGTGGTGTAATGTGTGTACGAGGTGCGTGGTGTAGTGTGTACGAGGTGCGTGGTGTAGTGTGTACGAGGTGCGTGGTGTAATGTGTATACGAGGTGCGTGGTGTGTGTATACGAGGTGGGGTGTAATGTGTGTGTACGAGGTGCGTGGTGTGGGTGTGTGTGTGGTGGTGGTGTAGTGTGTACGAGGTGCGTGGTGTAGTGTGTACGAGGTGCGTGGTGTTAGTGTGTACGAGGTGCGTGGTGTAGTGTGTACGAGGTGCGTGGTGTAGTGTGTACGAGGTGCGTGGTGTAGTGTGTACGAGGTGGTTGATGCAGTGTATATGATGTGCGTGGTGTAGTGTAGTGTATGATGTGCGTGGTGTAGTGTATATGATGTGCGTGGTGTCTGTTGTGTATATATAATGTCCAGTCAGTATGTTTAACAGGCGTCATTATGTATTGTATATGTGTGGTGTATGTTGTACATACTATCTGTCAGGTGCATGTTTCTGTAGCCATTTTGTAAGCAGTAACATATTCCTGGTGACAGAATCACTTTGGGGGAGATTTATTAACACTGGAGAGTGCAAACTCTGGTGCAGTTCTGCATAGAAACCAATCAGCTTCCAGGTTTTATTGTCAAAGCTTCATTGAAAAAAACTGGTTAGATGCTGATTGGCTACCATGCAGAGCTGCACCAGTTTTTAGTACATCTACCCCTCTGAGTCCACTCACCTTCTCCCGAGGTGGTCTCCCTCTATGACTACTCTGTCCAAACCCACTGAGTGAGCCTCGTAATGTATACGATGTGCGTGGTGTAGTGTGTACGATGTGCGTGGTGTAGTGTGTACGATGTGCGTGGTGTAGTGTGTACGATGTGCGTGGTGTAGTGTGTACGAGGTGCGTGGTGTAGTGTGTACGAGGTGCGTGGTGTAGTGTGTACGAGGTGCGTGGTGTAGTGTGTACGAGGTGCGTGGTGTAGTGTGTACGAGGTGCGTGGTGTAGTGTGTACGAGGTGCGTGGTGTAGTGTGTACGAGGTGCGTGGTGTAATGTATAGGATGTGCGTGGTGTAGTGTGTACGAGGTGCGTGGTGTAATGTGTATACGTGGTGTGGGTGTAATGTGTATAGGATGTGCGTTGTGTAGTGTATACGAGGTGCGTGGTGTAATGTGTATACGAGGTGCGTGGTGTAGTGTGTACGAGGTGCGTGGTGTAATGTATAGGAGGTGCGTGGTGTATGTGTATACGAGGTGCGTGGTGTAGTGTGTACGAGGTGCGTGGTGTAGTGTGTGTACGAGGTGCGTGGTGCAGTGTGTACGAGGTGCGTGGTGCAGTGGTGCAGTGTGTACGAGGTGCGTGGTGCAGTGTGTACGAGGTGCGTGGTGCAGTGTGTACGAGGTGCGTGTGCAGTGTGTACGAGGTGCGTGGTGCAGTGTGTACGAGGTGCGTGGTGCAGTGTGTACGAGGTGCGTGGTGTAGTGTAGTGATGGTGCGTGGTGCAGTGTGTGATGTGCGTGGTGCAGTGTGTGCGTGGTGTAGTGTATATGATGTGCGTGGTGTCTGTTGTGTATATATATAATGTCCAGTCAGTATGTTTAACAGGCGTCATTATGTATTGTATATGTGTGGTGTATGTTGTACATACTATCTGTCAGGTGCATGTTTCTGTAGCCATTTTGTAAGCAGTAACATATTCCTGGTGACAGAATCACTTTGGGGGAGATTTATTAACACTGGAGAGTGCAAACTCTGGTGCAGTTCTGCATAGAAACCAATCAGCTTCCAGGTTTTATTGTCAAAGCTTCATTGAAAAAACTGGTTAGATGCTGATTGGCTACCATGCAGAGCTGCACCAGTTTTAGTACATCTACCCCTCTGAGTCCACTCACCTTCTCCCGAGGTGTCTCTCCCTCTATGACTACTCTGTCCAAACCCACTGAGTGAGCCCGCCAGGATGTGTCACTTATACTGGGCCAATCATAAGTGACTGAGCCGTTCCCGCCCCACAGCCTCACATATACAAGGGGCATATATACATGCAGCTGCGGTGTGGGGAATACCTCAGTCGCTTATGATTGGCCCAGTACAAGTGACAGCTTTCAGGTGGGTTTGGACTAGGATCTGAGTTCAGACCTATTGTGTAGCACTGCAGCCTCTGGTTAACAGCACCCACTTGGAGCGATACTTTTGAAATCAATTAATGAAGCTTAATATAAGTCAAATAGCCTTCCTTAGTGAAGCACTGAGCATTGTCTAATGTTTGATCTCTTCTCTGCAGTATGGAAACTTCATAGACCATCTGAGGTTCATGGTGAAAGGTGGAGCTGGAGGAATGGGGCTGCCACGATTAGGTGGAGAAGGAGGAAAAGGTGGTGATGTGTTGATGGTGGCAAAGCACGGTGTCAGCATGAAAGATGTCAAAGAAAAGTATACACACAAACGATTCACTGGCGGTGCTGGAGACAATAGTAGGTGAGCGTTTCACACTGAAAGCAGAAGCTGATATCTGATAAGATACTTTTATAATTATGTGTGTGCAGGAAACTTCCATGTGGGTGCGGGTGTGTATCCCTGAACTCACCCTGGGTGCCTCTGGGGCCGTACACTCACACGGATGTCGCATTGGTGCACAGTGGCTGTGTGTCCATGCAGCCACGTGTCACAACAGACATCCATGTAGGTGAGAGTCTCACACTGAAAGCAGAAGCTGATATCTGATAAGATACTTTTATAATGATGTGTGTGCAGGAAACTTCCATGTGGGTGCGGGAGTGTATCCCTGAACCCACCCTGGGTGCCTCTGGGGCCGTACACCCCCACGGATGTCGCATTGGGGCACAGTGGCTGTGTCCATGCAGCCACGTGTCACAACAGACATCTATGGAGCTGCCAGCACTATGATACATGGAACACCTGTGCATCCCATTGCCAGCAAAACATGGCCCTGTATCGGGCATGCAAGTAATCGCCCAGTGTGAATGGGGCCTAAATGGCTGGCACTGCAGCTGTTCATTTGTGCGACTACATGCCAATAGAGTCTCTGACCGACCCTGGATGCAGAAAATGTTCTTCCAGAGTCACTGTTTCTGCAGAGTTCTGGCTTCATACAATTTGGCTGTGGCAAACGCAGCAAGTTATTTGCCCCCATTGCCCTTGTGAATGTAGCAACAGTAAGAGTCTCTGTCATAAGATATACATGCAGGCCAAGCTGTCCAGCAGAAGTGACAATGACTAGCTAGGACAAACTATAATACTACCAAAGATCCGTGAACAGTTGCAGTGACATTCTTTTTAAGATCTCGGTGTACCCCACATCACATTATGGGGTACAGGGAGCAAAGGTGACATTGGATAATACCCAGGGTCAGGGACTGTTGGGACAGTGTGTTCACAGGTAATTGCTGTTGCATTGTTATATTAATTTACAAAGTATTTCTAGCAACAGGGTAATTTTAACCACTTCAGTACCAAGCACTTTCACCCTCTTTCCTACCCAGGCCAATTTTCAGCTTTCAATGCTGTCACTTTTTGAATTGCGCGGCCATGCAACACTGTACCCATATGAAATGTTTTATCATTTTCTTTTAGACAAAGCTTTCTTTTGGTGGTATTTAACCACCACCGTGTTTGGTTTTCATTTGTTTAGCAAAAAATAAAATACATTAAAAAAAAAGTTTTTCTTATTTTCTGTTATAACATTTTGCTAATAAGTACATTTTCTTTCTTCATTAATGTACTCTGGCGAGGCTGCGCTGATAGATGGCACTGATATACTGCACTGGGGGGCACTGATTGGCACTGATGGGGCTGCATTGATCATCAGTTTATCAGTGTAAACAAAGTACTGACTGACTTGTTGGTTATCTGCTTTCCTTTCCTCACACAGGCACAGCGTGTGAGGAAAGGACTGCCGATAATGGGCAAAACTGATTACATGTGATCAGCGTGATTGGACACAGCTAATCACATGGTAAAGAGCTGATGTGATTAACCCTTTACCTCGATCTCTGATCAGCTGTGTCCAATGGACATTCTGGGAGGACGTCCATAGATGACCTCGCAGAAGTAGACGACTGCACTGTAGCTGTCTTTTTGGCTATAGTGCAGTTGGGAAGCAGTTAACCACTTCCAGTCCAGACACTTTTCCCCCTTCCTGTCCAGGCCAATTTTCAGCTTTCAGCGCTATCACACTTTGAATGACAATTGTGCGGTCATGCAACACTGTACCCATATGAATATTTTAGCATTTTTAGAGACAGATAAAGCTTTATTTTGTTGGTATTTATTCACCACTGGGATTTTTTTTTTTTTTTGCTATATAATTGAAAAACTCCAAACATTATGAAAAAAAGTGTTTTTCTTATAAAACTTTGCAAATAAATAATATTTCATCATAAATCTTGGCCAAAATTTATTCACTTCTCTTTTTTAGTAAAAAAAAAATAACCCAAATTAGTTTATAACCAAAAATGTTTTTTTTACATCTTTATTTTTTTATAATATTATTTGTTTTTTTTTTTTTCTACATACTGTCACCCTAGCAGTATAGTGTCACCATGGTGACACTGTACTACTTGTGGGGGGGGGGTGATGAAGATTTTGGTTTTTTTACACCCTTAAAGGCTGTAAAAGCAACCATTTCTCCTTCTCTCTGGCTGCATTCCTGCAGCCATTGTGTGAGCTGTGATTGGTCACAGCTTTTCACATGGTACAAGACTGTTGTGAATAGCCTTGTAAGATGTGATCTCTGTGATCATTCACAGATTTCACACGTAGAAAGCAATGATGTCAGAAGTGACATCTTGCTTACTACTCTGCATGTGATCACTGATTGGCCAATGAGTGATCACATAATCTGGACCTCGCACAGAGGTCCCGTACGATGATCGCTGTTCCACTGTGTCCTCCGGACACAGCGAGCACCGATTTGCTCCCAGGGAGTGCGCACAGTCCATAGTGGCGGGTGCCGTTTAAGAAACGGCAACCCGCCCCTGGAGTGCCACCGTCCTGCCGTTTATATACAGCGGCCGGATGGCAAGTGGTTAAAGTAGTTGTGATCATACAATGTTATAGACACTTTTTGTTGTACGATTATAACTATGCAGAAATGATCTTTCTCACCTTTCTTTACAATGTTAAAAGGTTCTGTAATGTGATTATGTATCTCTTCTTGAAAGTAGGTGGTGGGGTTAGAGGACACACCTTGCACACACACCATGTTCCTGTATTCCATAGTCTGTTCAGCTTGAGGCAAGATGCAGACTATGCTTCATCAGGGGGGCGTGTTCAAAAGGCAGGCTGGGATTGGGAGGGGGTCTGTACTTGACGCAGGTTATGATTGGTCAGGGGGTTTGGTGGCTGAACAAACTACTCAATACAAGCATGCTCTGTGTCTGCACAGTGTCCTGTACCTCTGAATGGCCAGCCAAACGATGAAAACTGACTAAACAGATCAGCTTCTGTGCTTAGTGTGGTCAGTTTAGAGCAAAGAAGAAAGGTAACTGGCAGGATCAACCACGTACTTCAGATGGAAGAAGTACATGAAAATGATAGAGACTATGATTTATAAAATACACATATGTGAATACACAAAACAAATATTTAGGGTAACATACACTTTAACTGTGCTTACTTATCTCTCACTGTCAAAGGATGCTTCCTCTTGATGTGCTTATTATCCAGAAGAGACTGCAACCCCCAAGAACTCATCTTCATCTCCGTTGCTCTCACAGCTGGCAGAATAAGCCCACATACAGTGTGTAACTATATATTCTTGTTCTTCCAGTGTGCGTTCACTTAAAGGCTCATCCGGTCTACACTGTCAGGTTGATGTTCCTGTTGGCATAACTATCACTACTGATAATGGGCTTAAGATAGGTAAGAAGCAATTCCTAATTCAAATTTATGTCATGGTTTTTTTTTTGATTGCCTACAATATCATGTTGTCTGTTAATTCGCCCCTTGTCACTTGCAGTTCCCTGACAGCTCTGATATAATAATAACAACATGCAGGATGAAGGTGGTTTTGAACCCTTAGATATACCCAGCTATCAGGTGATACACAGAGATGAAACAAATCCTCCTACATAAGTTGTACCTGTCTTTCTGCAGTTGTCTGTTCTCTACATCTGTGTTTTTTAACCTTCTTTCAGTCAAGGCACACTTTAAAATTTTGCATAATCTGAAGGCATCCTTTAAAATTCTGCGTAACCTATTTTAAAACATTATTTATTACAGGTACTTGTATAGCGCCATCAATTTACACGGCGCTTTACATATATATTGTACATTCACATCAGTCCCTAACCCTCAAGGGGTGTACAATGTAAACATAAATGAATAGTTGTACATAATGCAGCAGCGTCCACACACATAGGACACCCAACATTAGAGGTGATTTATTCTTACAAACCAATTTACCTTTGCACACTGGTACTGACTAGAGTTCCAGGGCTACCATCACTCAGCTAACATGACCCCAGTGCTGACGGATATGGATGGGGGGGGGGGGGTGTCAAACAAGGATGCTGTGCAGGTTCTCGGTGTCTTACATGACAACTAATTACATCATTGCTGACCAGCATCCAGTGGATTGATCCATCTGCTGGCTTGTAATTTTTGGGGAATTGGGTGCAATAATTTTAGGCACTTTGCCAAGGCACCCCAGTGTGCCTAGGTACCGTGGTTGAAAAATGCTGCTCTACATCCCTTCAAAGTGTTGGATTTCTAAAGCTTGTGTAGAATTCTGAAAAAAAGGGGGTGGACAGCTGAAACTACACACTGCAGAGCTCAGTGAGGAGAGCTCTGATAGCTGATTGGATGGAAGAGGACCCCCCTCCCTTCCCTTCACACAGTTTACAGGAACAGAGCTGAGGCCTTCACTCTGCTGGAGATCCCTCCACTGTCACAGTTTTTCTCTTTGTGTCAGGAAAACTTGTCAGAAGGGATTCATGCTCATAGCAGTGGGACGAGGCAGCAGGTAGAAATGACACTTAGTGCTCTTAATGGAGACAAGTACATGCTATAGAGCAGTGATGGCGAACCTTTTTGAGCCCGAGTGCCCAAAACTGCAACACAAAACCAACTTTTTTATTTCAAAGTGCCAACACTGCAATTAACCACTTGCCTACCGGGCACTTCTACCCCCTTTCTGCCCAGATCAATTTTCAGCTTTCAGTGCTGTTGCACTTGACAATGAAAATTGTGCGGTCATGCAACACTCATTTTTTCACACAAATAGAGCTTTTTTTTGGTGGTATTTAATCACCACTGGGTGTTTTATTTTTTGCACTATAAATGAAAAAAGAGCAAAAAATTAAAAACATAAAAGGTTTTCTTTGCTTCTAATAAAATTTTGCAAACAGGTAATATTTCTTCTTTGATGTGCGTTGATGAGGCTGCACTGATAGGCAGCACTGATGGGCATTGATGAGGAGGCACTGATGATGCACTGATATGCAGCAATGATGGGCACTGATAAGCGGCACTGACAGCACCAACTGGAGGCACTGACAGACGGCACTGATCGGTGGCACTGCTGGGCATCATTGATGGGCGGCACTGACGGGTGGCACTGCTGGGCAGCACTGACAGGCGACACTTTTGGCTATAGCATGGTTGGCAAGCAGTTACTCTCACCTCTGGCAGTGTCGGTGTGGCTTCCAACCCAGCAGCTCATTCCCAGCCACGCTGAACACATCGCCCCTGGCCCCGGAGCAGTGTGGGAGCCTCTTCCTCTCTTCCACGCCCATCACCGGCTACATCACCCCTGGTGCCAGATCCGCATAGGAGCCGTTTCCTCTCGTCCACACCCATGTGGAGACATGTGGGAGATGTAGTTTGATGGGGGTCCAGTGTGGACGAGATCTGAATGGCCGGTCCGTGTGCCCACTTCCTCTTCCTCATCTTCCTCTTCTTCCTGGCGTGCCCACTGAGATGGCTCTGCATGCCAGCGGTTCTCCATCACTGCTATAGAGGGATATGCTTTGTTCATATTTCATGTCTGAGGTTTACAACCACTTTAAGGTTATATAAATAAAAAAGAGCCTGCAAATGGACCTAGTTATCTTCTGGCTGTAGTGCGTATCTGAGATTCGCTTCTCCTAATCGATGCCTTGAGATAGGCTTTAAAAGTCCAACTTTCAGATACGTTTGCACTATTAAAAAAAGCAACATAGTTAGAAAAAAAGTTTTCCTTATGTCAGATATAGTGGTATTTCCTAATAAATCTGTTGCAGTCTTATTTGTTACAAATAAGAAATGTATTGACTATGGAATTGCAGCACATCTTTTATGGATTTGCTGTAAGAGCTCTTTGTAGAGCCCCAATGCCAGAATTATATTGCAACGCCTTTACTAAACTGTCCCCAAATGTGTGTCTTCTGTAATAAATAGCCTGCCTGTTCACACATTTTACATTTTTATCTAAAGCTTCACTTTACTGTTATTACCTTAGAATATCTTACCTTAGAAATATGTTAGGCCTGTACAAGTGAAGCACAATAAAAGTTATGTAGCCAGTAAAGTCTGCAGCCACAGAATTGTTTTGGATCTGTGACATTAGAAGTAATGAGCATAAACGAGGATGATGGCCCTGGAGCTTCCTCCTTTAAAACAAGTTAGGAATGGCATAGTTCTTACTTCTGTCATATCAAGTTCAGGGGAATCCCCACGTGGCCTCACTACATCTGTTGTAAATACTGGAGTATCTTTGACCTAAACTATGTTTACATCCGTTCCATTGACTGCAGCACACTAATTCAGTGGAAAGTATTTGGGAGCCCCCATTTCCATTTACTTATGCGATTTATCAAATGTCATTCTTTGCTTTTAGGTGAGCTGGATAAAGATGGAGCCGAGCTCCAGGTCGCCAGAGGAGGTTATGGTGGTGGTTTCCGGTCAAATTTTCTTCCAACCAAGGGACAGAAAAGAATAATTAGATTGGACTTGAAGCTGATTGCAGATGTGGGATTGGTTGGGTGAGTAGTTCAATGGACAAAACTGGAATCCACAGCCTCTTATACCTCACTGCTGAGGGCTTCTCTTCTGAATTATTCATTAAAGGATAACTTCATTTTTTTAGAAAAATAATAATGCATATTTTTTGCAGGAAAAAAATAATGCGCTTTTTTTTTCCATGGGAACCTGCAGAGCATCGCACCTGCAATCAGCAGATCATGGGTGCAATGTCAGGCTCCTACAGACTCAGCATAGCTGTCTGCACATACCTCCCAATACAGGCAGACAGTTACTGAAGTTCAGGAGGATCAATGAACTACAAGACAACTCACCAGTACCCTCACAGTTCATTGCAAACTACAAGCTATCTGTCATTGCAGCAGGAAATCACTGGATGAATGATGCGGAGCCCCACACCAGCATGCTCCTTTCAAATTGTGACAGCTGGTGCAAGGAGAGGGTCCCCCACCCACTGTCACAACAGGGCCTAAGGGAGCGTAGGTGCTTTAGTAACATTTTATATGCTGCACCCTGTTTATGTAGAATAAAAGTGAACGTATCCTTTAAAAATAGAATATTTCCACATATAAGAGGCAACTGAATAGACAGAAATAAATTGCCACAAATGATTGCATCTAATCTCATCACATTTGAGCTTTTTAGACAGAAAATGTGTATACCCTTGAACATTTTTGATTATTTCATTCTTTCAGCTGTATGTAAGGTGCAGGCCAGTGGGTTAGGTGAGGGGTGATATATGGATGCAGAAGGGGAGTTGGGACTGGAGGGAAAGAAAAGTAACTGCAGAGAAAGGCAGGGAAAGATTTGTCTGCAGAGTGGAAGGGGTGTGTGGACTGGGATGGGGTGTTGCTGTAGAGCAGGGGTCTCCAGATTATCCAAAGGGCCAATTTACTGTCCTTCAGATTTAGGAGGGGAGGGGGGCAGACTGTGGCCATTGAAGATGTGCTTGCATCAGAGGGAGTAAACACTGCTCTGAGAGAAATCCTGTCACATCTTTGGTGTCCGTGAGAAGAATCATGTCCGATCCTTGGTGTCCGTGAGAAGAATCATGTCCGATCCTTGGTGTCCGTGAGAAGAATCATGTCCGATCCTTGGTGTCACTGGGAGGGATTGTGCCACCTCATTGGTGTCATTGGAAGGAATTGTGCCACCTCATTGGTGTCATTGGAAGGAACTGTGACCCATCGTTGTCATTTGGAGGAACTGTGCCCGTTCGTTGATGTCAGTGAGGGGAATTCTGCCCCATTGTTAGTGTCAGAGGATGACATATTGCCCCAAGGCCTGGATAAAAGCAAGTAAAAGGCTGCAGTTTGAAGACCACTGCTGTAGTGGGATCTGGAGAAGAGATTGGCATTTGGGTTTCAGAAGAGAACTGGACACAAGGCTGTGAGGAAGATACAGTATTTATGGTTCTGGATGGGGGAAGGTGTATTGCTATGTTACTACACACTCACATGTTCTGACCAGTCCAAATACATTTTCAGTTTTGGGTTTTGATATGCTTTATTTTTGTTTTTGACCTGTAATGGTGAACTTACAGAAAAATGGTCTTCGTTTCACCTGTCTCTAGTTTTTATAACTTGAACCCAATGACTGTAGAGCTGGGTATACAGTTAGGTCCATATACAGTGTATCCCAGAAGTCTGATTTAGAAAGACAGTGGTACGATCCATTGGGAATGTTTGTGTAATTCCATGAATTTAGTTTGTACTTTAATCCAGTGTGTTTTCTGCCTTTACAGCATAGCTGATTGTAGTAAGCCACATTTGTCTGAACATGTTCCGTAATCTTGAAGGCATCTGACCCCTCATCCAAGTGGCTTCCTTGGTCCTAATTGTAGTATGATCTCCCAGGTCTTGGGTTGTATACTTGGCATTTGGTCTGTCTGCCCTGCCTTTCTCATCCCTTGATGAGATTACTGGTTGTCTTTAATATGGCTGGGTGAAGGGCTCCCTAATTATCTTCAAGCATGAACCTTTTACTGACCTTCCCTCAAAACTGGCTTGCTTGATCCATATAAAAGCAGCCATGAGCATTCTCTTACCTTTGTGCTAATAGCAGCTCCATCATTTGATCTCTAATTGTTGTTTTCCTATTGTATGTCCGTTATTTAGTGGCTTCCTTTTGATGGGGATATTATTCTGGAATCTAACAATACCTTCCTAAGAGATGACCTTTTTCAGACACAATAAAATCTGTAGCTGTAGCAAGATGTAATGGTTTATTAAGGGGAAGGTAATCATTACAGGATTTTTAATTAGGAGCTCCAGTATCCGTGGTTGTAGGAGCGCTTTTGTCTTTGTTGCTTAGCAGTCATCCTGTTTTGTTTATTTTTCAGCAATTCATGATAGAATACTACTTTTCACAACATATATCCACTGAATACAATGCAGCTTTGAGTTTGTCTCTTATATTGTAAAATAATAAATATACTCTATATGGCCAAAGATTTGTGGACAGCTGACCACCACCACTATTTGAGCTAGTCCATAACCAAGGGTATTAATGTGGAGTTGGCCCAGAGTTGGCATATACCAGTCCCTGATCTGGGAAGGCTTTAAACAAGATTTTGAAGTGTATCTGGGGGAATTTTTGTCCAGTCAGGTAAAAGAGCCTTTGTGAGATCAGGTGCTGAAGCTCACAATTGGCTTTCCAGGTTCATCCCAAATGTGTTCAGTAGGGTTGAGGTCAGGGCTCTGTGCAAACCATTCCAGGTCCTCCACACCAAAGTTCACTTTTAAAAAAATAAATATATTAAGAAAGCACTGTTTTGTACGTAAAAAAAAAAAAAAAACGGTGCCATGCAGGGCTCCAGCAGACTGTCAGTTTAATCTTTGTGCTCATACTTTGTATGAGCAGACAGACTGACATAAAAAAAAAACTGAATGAACTACCATGGCACTAAGAAGCTGATATCTGCAGAGGCTGTTGGGACTGGTAGTTCATTCATTCACAAAACTCTGTGAGTGAATAAATGACGTGGCCATGTGGGCGGAGCCCTCCACAGCTCTGCTGATTTCAAAAACTGACAGCTGGTACAGGGAACCTCTCCCTTTACTGCTGTCTCATGGAGGAGAGATCGGGCAGCAGCTGGAACATGATACATGTTCCACCCTAAAAACAGGTGGAACATGTAACATATTCCACCCTAAAAAGGGGTGGAGCATGTTTCCAAAGGTGTACTTATCCTAAACCATGTGTATATGGAGCTGGCTTTGTAAACAGGGATACAGTCATACTAGAACAGAAAAGGGTTTTCCCCAAACTGTTAGCACAAGGTTGGAAGTGCACCATTACCTGAAATGTCTTTGTATGCTGTAGTACTAACAGTACCCTTCACTGGAATCACCTGAAGGCAATAATTTGGAGTGAAGTCCACAAAAATTTGGCCGTATAGTTTATTCTAACAAGTTCACATAAGGATTAACCCATCTAGGGTGATTCACGTGTGGCTGTGCCTGTTCATCAGAAATCAGTCGTTAGATAAAATTTGGCTTGTTGGGAATTTTTTCTCAGCTGGCTGCAGCCATTAATCAGTGTATTCTGATAGTGGCGGAAATTCTTGTGTGGATGTTAATTTTTTGTATTTCAGCCCGCTGACTGAACGAAAAAAAAAGATTGCTCAATGCCCAGCTTAAAGTATATGTAGTCCCTCACCTTGTAAACAACCCATTCAGTTTACAATAGAGTTGAAAAGACAAGACATCTGTGTATAGATCTAAAAAAAACAAATTATAAAGGAAGAGAAACGGCAGCACACTGATCTTTGCACTGAAAGGCTGTTGGAGGGGGGTAGGGGTGTCCAGAACAAGTCTGATCATTGGAGGACAGCAGGCTGAATTTCCAGCACAGCTAGAGAACTGACCATGCTGTGCTCTCGTGCTCAGTGTGGTCATTTTGTAAAAGGAAAGCAGAGGGACTGGCAGGAACACAAAGGAAATACATCATACAGCAGGCACATATCATCAGTATGTTACATATCCTTTAAGTCTAGCTGTCTCAGCAGTTGTTGTGCAAAAGAAAACCAGAAGGAGTAAGAAGAGGGTATTCATGGACCCCCCCCCCCCCTCCTCATTCTGTCAGAGATGGCAGCTTCTTTTACAGTAAGTTTTGCTTTTAACGTTTGGCCCCCCTCCCTTTAAGCATTTCCTGCTGATACTTTGTCCAAGAGATACCTGTAAAGAAAAAATTATTATTTCGCACTAACCTTACATTGTCTTCTGCCAGTCAATATCCCAGGGAATGGAGGGTGCCCAAATCTCACGAAAATATGCTCTTGCAATGGATTGAAATGATACGTGTCTTCTTTTGATAATTGGGCCTCTTGCACAGTACTGATGTTTGAGCATTAGCACTTCTGGATGTAAATTCCGTGTCTGATTGTCATGTGTTGTGCATATTCATGCATATTTGCACATATGCACATTCATGTGTACAACATATCTATGAATTTTCAAAAGAATTATGCTCATACGTGCGTATTTCTGCGTACCGACTCAAAATACTGACCGGGAATTCAGATTTTTCTTTTTTTTTTTTATTTAATTTTTTTTCCCAAGAAGCGCTTGTTTGCTCGCCTGTGTAACCCACAGACCCATAAATAAATGTAAATAATGGGCTGCTTTTAGAGCAGTAAAAAAAAATGCTGTACTGAGCTTTTTTTTTACGCTGTAGTTTGCAAGACTGCTCTGCATTTCCCTGTAACCCCCCAGGACAGTGACATCATGTCCAGCGATGCGGAAGACTGGGTAAGGTAAGTAAAATCTACATTTGTGCCTTTTGGACATACAGGGGGAGGTAAGCCTGGACATTATAAACTGAACTTGAATCTTACTGCAAGGTCCGCCTAATCTAGTGGATTAAAAAAAGGCTGCCAGGAAGCGTAAAGGTAGTGCTAGGCTTCGCATGCACATGTGCAGCTCAGTGTATTCTTCAGGGAAATACAAAGAGGCAGGAGATTGTATTGTATTGCAGAGAGACATTCCATGCAGCAAAGAGCCTGTCTGTTCATTTGTTTTCAGCTTTAGTTCCACTTTAAGCAGCTGGTTTATGTCAGAAAGCCCAGCACACCGTACAGATGTCTATGCGCCCTTTTGTAAATGTTTGTTTATGCAAATGCTTTAAAGATCTAAAACGTACATTTATGAATGTTAAAAAGGAAAGTGTCATGTTTTAATGTTTATTTTCCTTTTTACTTTAGGTTTCCGAATGCTGGCAAATCGTCGCTGCTCAGCAAAGTGTCCCATGCCAAACCTCAGATTGCTGACTATCCATGTAAGTTTTCTGCTCTATTCCATTATGAAATCTGTGGAAATTCAGATCGACTTCTGTACAACCAGCCTGTTGGATTTTCCCCGCTTGATCAGTGCCATCCGTTATAGCTGGCTGCACTGATTAGTGTATTGTGATGGTGGGGGAAGTCTCTCCGCTGTCAGAATACCATAGCTCAGTGGGGAGAATTACTCGCCCGATCCACATGGAGTGTGTGGATAGAAAAATCAAATCTTTTTTTTTTAACCTGCTGTTTGGACAAGAAAAATGGCTCCTTTATGAGCTCCTTTTCTCTGTTACAATTTTAAACTGTAGGTGGAATATGGTGATGTCCTCTCTTAACCCCCAGCTTGCTGTCTGTACAGTGGAAAAAAAGCAGCCGACTGATGAGGTCAACACTCTGCTCTCTCCTCCTATCAGCATGTTCCTTGTCAGCATATTGTAGTACCTTATTGTGATCCTGGGCCAAATGCTTTCCTTCTGTGTTTTTTTTGCAGTTACAACAATGAGGCCGGAGCTGGGGAAGATCATGTATTCTGACTTCAAGCAGGTAATCATGAGGATTATGCTGTATTTCATGGCTGGACACGTTGTACTAAAGAGCAAAGAAGTTCAAGTACAATCAAAGGCTCCTGTATGACAGTCTAAACAAGTCCACTTGCTCTATGATGTGCAAGTCTCATACAGTAACCCAACCTTAGTGCAGACTGGCACAGTCTACATGAGAGTGACCATATCTCCTTGCACAGCCTGGTTTATGAAAGATTTATAGTTTGTATTGTCAGTTCAGATGGGGTTCCAGCAGGCAGCTTTAAGGTGTTGTGGCCTTCCATTATTCAGAGAAGGAAAAGAGCAGAACAAGGATTATGGGGCATTGGAACAATTGGACTTAAAATGGACTAAAAGCAAAAATATTTAACTCTGTTCCAATGTTCTTTGTCCACAAGGTCCCTCACCAGTATCAGTCTTCGGCTATCTTATTTGGCTGGTGCAGGATGACGTCACTCCTGCGTTATGCACACATCCTAGCACACAGTGCACCAGAATGTAAACTGAGCCGTGCATGTGCAGTTCAGTGTACATTCTTCAGGGTATAACGAACAGGCAGGTAACTGGATTTTATTGCAGAAGAGATATTGCAATAAATAAAGAGCCTGCCTGTTCGATTTTTTTCAGCTTAGTTCCACTTTAAGCAGCTGGCTTATGTCATGTGAGTTCTGGCACAATGTTTGGGGAATCTAACACCCTTTCCACCATCAAGAAGGTGCAGAACAGAAGGAACAAGACATGTGGGATTAATACCCTTCTCTGCTGCTTAATGGTAGTGTTGTTCTATTACGAAGCTTGTATCTGACATGGTAAACTGCAGTGACTTGTGCGCCTACACATCCCTGCCATTTAACATGTAGGCTGCATCTGCTGTACCCACAAACCAGAACTGAGAAAGATGGGGTCAAGTGGTCACATGACTGCCAGCTTTTCTCTAATTTTAGGCAAAAGTGCATGTCGTGAACTGTACAGTGGGTGGGAGCCAGGCGCAGTACAAATCTTGCTGTCTGGTAGAAGAATCTTGATTTGGGCTTTAAACAAGGATTATATTCACATTACCTGCAATTTACAAGTAGAATTTTGAAAGGATGGGAGCGTGACACCAGCTTGTATAGTCCTTTTTAAAGATGTTTATTAATTTTGTAACATCCAGTATGTTTCGGGGGGTTGGCACTCCCTAAAATTCATTGGCTGTTACAAAATAAAAACCTTTTAGAGGACTATACAAGCTGGTGTGTCGCTCCATCCTTTCAGAACTTTAGTAAACTCCTCTGGGGGTCCAGCTAGACCTCACAGTTGCTGGTGAGCAGCCTCTAGGACCGTTAACTGCCTATTGTGTTATAATGCTTCTCCATATGGTTCAGGATTCCTACATCACGAAGATTTACCACTAGAGAGAACCTTTATAAATCTGTGTGTGGAATGCATTGATTTTATCATAAAACAAGAATATGGTCAAAAATAATGACTTTTAGGTAAATGTCCAATTATAATTATATAAGCCCTTAAAGTGTGTTAATAAACTATAGCTTTCTGTCAGCAAAACCATCCATATTTTGTACACTGGTGATTTTGCTTTTCGCATCCTTGCTTTGTAATGGCACATTTTTAAGAAATCTGCAACACCTATACTTGTATCATTAAAATGCCTGATTGTCACTCTATGTTCCAGATTTCGGTAGCTGATCTCCCAGGTTTAATAGAGGGAGCGCATATCAACAGAGGAATGGGACACAAGTTCCTGAAGCATATTGAGAGGACAAAACAGCTACTGTTTGTGGTGAGCATGATCACTTCAATCCAGCACATCATTTCTGTATAGTGCTGTCTGAATCCATATTTCTGGCAATGGAGCCTGTTATCCCATTACTATCCCTTAAAGTGACACTGTTAGAAGGTTAGTATAGGGCTGCCATTGCTGGCCTCCTAAAAAAAAAAAAAAACAAAAAAAAAACAGCTTTTGAGTCTCAGGCCTGCAACAAGCATGCTGTAAATGAGTGCCAGATGAGTGCCCGGTAATGTCAGTTGTAAGTCCTCCACAGCCTTACAGGTTACGGAGTAACAAGGGGCCACATGTGATGTCACTGACTTTGTGATGTCACTGACGTTGTGACGTCAACAAGCTTCGCCGAAGGGCGTATTTCCTCATTTTCGTCAGGGCCAGTGGGCTGCTAGCCTACCCAGCTATTTAATTCTTACGCAGACCCTTATTGTGTTAGTGGGAATGTTGATAAAATACACTTGGACTCTCAATCAAATTGGCATACATAGGCATTTAATTAAGAAAACTTCTATCCTAATGAATACAAATATTTACAAAGCTCACCGTTATCATATTTATTACCTTAAAATGTTCCCCTATTCTTCTCTTTAATTGTCTTTTTGTCTTCCCCGCATATTTTCTTGCATGGACAGGTAATCATATACAATACACATGTAGATGGACAATTTATTAGAGTCTTGATTTTAGCTTTTAAATTTATTAGATTCTTGATTTTAAACTCACTTTGGTTTTGTGAGTTGGTAAAAACATCCGTTTCACTCTGCCCCTGGAACTGAATCCTGATTAAGCTCAGGGGACAGAGTGAAATGTGTTGCAGGCATGACCTGGTTGGAGCCCGGGCTCAGGCAGTCATACACCTCCTCACAGGATTTTGCTGTGATGTGCTACTTTTTGAACTTCCTTTCCCAACCAGGAAACTAACATTCTCAGAGCGAGGAGAATTCAGCTGTGGCAGCCTCTGCTTTCAGCTTCACAAAGCTTCCTTTTAAAGCAAACCTGTCTACCTCAGCATGACTGATGTTGCCTCATTTGCTCAGAAAGTCCTTCAGTGGCTCCTCTGAGACTGCTTTTAGTTTGCTAGTGAGGTCTCAAATTTGGACCTAAGCCCCACACTCCAGCTAGACCCCTATCCTATGAGAGCCTTACTGACAGTTCCACTTTAAGACCTCATTCACATAGGTTTACTGATGCATACACCCATGCAAAGGACCATCTTTGCCCACATGGGATGTACAGTTGTTTTGTATATCCACATGCAGGCAGCCCCATTCATGTGTATTGGGACGCAATGGATGCACGGACACAGCCGCTGGTCCCAAATTACACAACCATGTGAATGTGAGGGCATGTTCCTGAAAGCAGAAATTTTGCATTTGTGTACACACATGATGTGTGGTTATCAGATTAGGTCCAGCAGCTGTGTTCATGCTGTCGCTGCATTCCAATAGACATGAATGGGACTGCCTGCATGTGAATGCTTGGAACATGAAAGTCACCCATTGTGGTGCAATAGCATGGCTGTTGATGTTCCATCATGAATGAAAAAAAAAAACATGCGTAACCCTTTTTCCAAAGTGCAGTGCACCACGGGCATGATTTGTGTCTTACAAATCAATATAGGTGATTATTTAAACGCCAATGTGAGCTAAAAAAAATAAAAAGACTTGTATTTTGTGTTTAGCTGCCCCTATTTAAGTGAAGATTTCACTATAACATGATATTAGAATAGAGTAGGTAGGCGCTACATTTAAACATACCAAATATACTGATATATTGTGCAGTAAATAGGGGATTAATATTGCTAAAAATCCCTATGTTTAGTGCCTCAAATTCGGTGTATACATCCCTGTGTCTGGAACAAATTTGATAATCTATGCTAAAAACAAAACCGTATTAACAGCTGAATACATAAAAGTGCAACATTGTGAAAAAAATGTCCATAGATATAGTGACAATCTTTGCGGCTTCTTATATCTGTGTCCCAAATCATGGTTTTAGACAACATAGTGTCTCTAACAATTTCCGGATAAAACACAACAAAGATCCCAGTCTTCTCCAGTTCTGGGGTTTAGATAAGGTATCCAGGCACTGGAGAGGCACCAACATTGGGTTACAGGTATCCCAGATGGAGACCCAGTGGATCCACAGACTTCAGACTCTGGACCCAAGGGGTCTCAATAGGGATATAGATTTGAACTGTTTTCTCACCAAGTACTGAAATTGATCCCTATCATAGCCTTGGCCCCCCCACCCCTGGGTCTCCATCTGGGATACCTGTAACCCAATGTTGGTGCCTCTCCAGTGCCTGGATACCTTATCTAAACTCCAGAACTGGAAAAGACTGGGATCTTTGTTGTGTTTTATCCGGAAATTGTTAGAGACACTATGTTGTCTAAAACCATTTTTAATGTTTTTAATGTGTTCCCTATACATTCTCTGCACTGATTTGGGACACAGATATAAGAAGCTGCAAGGGTTGTCACTATCTATGGACATTTTGTTCACAATGTTGCACTTTTATGTATTCAGCTGTTAATACCGTTTTGTTTTTAGCATAGATTATCAGATTTGGTCCAGATACAGGGTTGTGTGCACCGAATGTGAGGAACTAAATATAGGGATTTTTATCAATATTAATCCCCTATTTACTGCACAATATATCACTATATTTGGTATGTTTAAATGTAGCGCCTACCTCCTCTATTCTATTGTCATGTATGTCTTGTGGTGTGCATTGGGCGGTACTGTTTAATGCATTGGAATACCATTCACAATAATTGGCACTACAGTTTACCACACTTGGTGCATTGTATTGATATTGCATGGATTTTATTATGCGCTGCCACAAGTCTGAATGGGCAGTATGTTAAAATTGTGCTAATTTCACACTTTATTTCTAAAATTGCTGTGTTCTGCTTATTTTATCAGTAGGCGTATCAGAGAGTTCTCTGTGTATGTTTTCAGGTAGATGTTGGCGGATTCCAGCTCTCATTTAAGACTCAATTCAGAACGGCATTTGAAACGGTGCAGCTGCTCCTCTTGGTGAGTTGGAGCCTCATTTTACTACGACACAGTTGCTTGGAATACAGACCTCACCGTAAAGCATGCTTTCATTTGTGTTGAAAATAATCAGGCCACGGGCTAACCCTGCTGCTATGTGAAAATGTTGCATCCTAGGAGCTGGAGTTGTACAAGGAGGAACTTCTAGACAAGCCTGTCCTATTAGCCGTCAATAAGATGGATGTACCGGGAGCAGAAGAAAAGTTTGCAGAGTTGGTGAAACAGCTGGAAAATCCACAGGGTAGGCAGTCTGTGAAGTGATTGGAAAATGCTAAAAAGTGATATTAAACCCTCAGTTTTAAAGCACATTAAGCTGATTAAACCCGGCCATAGAATCGGCATAAAATCGCTTGGTTCCCCCATAAACAGTCAATGTTGACAGGGGAATCCCTCCCGCGGAGCTACTGTGTTTCTGGCGGGGGAAGCCATCCCTGCCTCAGTAATTGCATATAAAAAACGAATAGGCTGGTTGTAGCCAATTCAATTATATGACTTGGGTACAATCAGCCTTCCAATAGATAGTTTGAATCCTGGGGCTAGCCAACATTTGAGCAATCTATGGCTGGCTTTAGCCACTTACTAAGTATGCAGTTTCTTTACTTTTTGATCCTTGCCTATGTTTTAGTTTAAAGCGATTCTAAAGGTTCATTTTTTTTTTTTTCTTTGTAAAATAACAAACATGTCTATACTTACCTACTGTGTGCAGTGGTTTTGCACAGAGCAACCTGGATCCTCCTCTTTTGGGTCCCCCGCAGACTCTCCTGGCTCCTCCTGTCTATTAGGTGTCCCTACAGCAAGCAGCTTGCTATGGGGGGCACCCGCTGCTCCGTCTGTCCATTCAGACACAGAGCCGTGGCTTGGCCCCCCACCTCTCTCTCTCCTCATTGGCTGACTGGCTGTGATTTCTGTCTCAGCCAATGAGAAGGCAGAGACCCGTCACAGCTGAGTCTTTCATTCACATTGCTGGATCTCGATAAGGCTCAGGTAAGTATTGAGGGAGATGGGGAGCTGCTGCACACAAAGTTTTTTTTACCTTCATGCAGTAAAAAAAAAATTTAGCCTTTATAACCACTTTAAGCTGGCGCCATGACCACTGCCCCATGTTTCCTGATTCAGGGTGGCTCCTTTCTCTTGCAGAATCCTATGGAACCACCCACTTGTATGGAGGGACTAGAGCTGTGACTCCCTACACTGTGTGCATCATTAGAAACACACAGCTGCATAGCCTGGGATGGCAAAGCATACTCCTGCTCCTTGCTCCCCTTTCTCCTCCTCTCCCTTCTCCAAGCTGATGTAATACCGGGAGACTGCACTGTCCACTATTAACTCTCTTAAAGTCTGGAAGTTCAGGGAAGGAGCATTGAGATAGCAGGAGCCAGTAGCATTGAAAGTTGTAAACTAAAAATCCTGGGGTAAGAATTTTAATAGTTTACTGGGGAATGTTTGTTTTATTTGCTCAATGTGTTAACCCCTTTTGGATTGCCTAGCACAAATGCTCAGCGGTAGGCTTTAGCGCCCATATGTGTCGCTGGGCGGCCAATGTTTATGTTCTGAGAGCATTTAAAGTGACCCTGGGGCGGATAGGAAGGGATTAAAGGAAAACACATGGAGGGTTTAATAATACTTGAACACTGATTTTGGGTCGGTGACTGAGCAAGTATTGAAGTCAGAAAATGCATGACAACCAGACAGTAAGGCCTTGTTCACACACAGTGCAGTGAACTGCGTTTTACCGCACTGGAAGAACACCGGTCACCACTAAAACACACCAGAAACATTTGTATGTGTTCTGGAGGTGCGGTGCAGTGAGCTATGGTAAAATGCAGACATGCTTCAGTTTATTGCAGTGCACTGGACAGGACTGTATGTCACTGGACAGCAACGCAATGCACTATGCTGCTGTATAGTGACATAAACGAAGTATTGCTTTTGTGCACTTCAAATGAAGTTTGTATAAAAATAGGTAAAATAAAGGAGCCGTGTGATGCACTGAAGTACGCAGCACACTGCCGCCCTACTGCTGGCTCACTGCAGCCGGAACAGACAGCTGCCAGAAACTAAACCAATGGGGCAGCTGTCTGTCACTGCCTCAATGGGCCCTTAGAATTTAAGGAGGCCAGCAATGGCAGACATCGTATTTGTCTAAGCACACTGAAGATAACAAACGCACAGTGCCATTCAGCTCAGTTGTCTGAGTCATTGAATGAAAATGATCACATGCAGTGCAGTCAGTGCAGCAGCTCTCAGTTGTCCGGGTGGCAGATTTCACCCTGGTTATGTATGGTGAGTGAGGAGAAGTCTGTCCTGTGTTTGCATGTACTTGAGAGGTGATGTACAGTGCCTTGAAGTATTCATACCCCTTACAATTTCCCACATTTTGTCATGTTACAACCAAAAACGTAAATGTTTTTTGTTGGGATTTATGTGATAGACCAATACAAAGTGGCACATAATTGTGAAATTGAAGGAAAATATTTTTTTTTTAAATAAATGTGGGAAAAGCGTGGCATGCATTTGTATTCAGCCCCCCGGAGTCAATACTTTGCAGAACCACCTTTTGCTGCAATTCCAGCTGCAAGTCTTTTTGGGGATGTCTCTACCAGCTTTGCACATCTAGAGAGGGACATTTCTGCCCATTCTTCTTTGCAACATAGCTCAAGCTAGGTCAGATTGAATGGGGAACATCTGGGAACAGCAATTTTCAAGTCTTGCCACAGATTCCCAATTGGATTTAGGTCTGGACTGTGACTGGGCCATTCTAACACATGAATATGCTTTGATCTAAACCATTCCATTGTAACTCTGGCTGGATGTTTAGGGTCGCTGTCCTCCTGGAAGGTGAACCTCCACCCCGGTCTCAAGTCTTTTGCAGACTCTAACAGGTTTTCTTCTAAGATTGCCCTGGATTTGGCTCCATCCATCTTCTCATCAACTCTGACCAGCTTCCCTGTCCCTGCTGAAGAAAAGCATCCCCACAACATGATGCTGCCACCACCATGTTTCACGGTGGGGATGGTGTGTTCAGGGTGATGTGCAGTGTTAGTTTTCCGCTACACATAGCGTTTTGCTTTTCGGCCAAAAAGTTAAATTTTGTTCTCATCTGACCAGAGCACCTTCTTCCACGTGTTTGCTGTGTCCCCCACATGGCTTCTCGCAAAACGCAAACAGGACTTCTTATGGCTTTCTTTCAACAATGGCTTTCTTCTTGCCACTCTTCCATAAAGGCCAGATTTGTGGAGTGCACGACTAATAGTTGTCCTGTGGACAGATTCTCCCACCTGAGCTGTGGATGGGCCATGGGTCTCTTGGTTGCTTCTCTGATTAATGCTCTCATTGCCCGGCCTGTCAGTTTAGGTGGACGGCCATGTCTTGGTAGGTTTGCAGTTGTGCCGTACTGTTTCCATTTATGTATGATGATGGATTGAACAGTGCACCGTGAGATGGTCAAAGCTTGGGATATTTTTTTATAACCTAACCCTGCCTTAAACTTCTCCACAACTTTATCCCTGACCTGTCCGATGTATTCCTTGGCCTTCATGATGCTTCACAAAACAGCTGTATTTATACTGATATTAAATTACACACAGGTGAACTCATTTACTAATTAGGTGACTTCTGAAGGCAATTAGTTCCACTAGATTTTAGTTAGGGGTATCCGGGTAAAGGAGGTGAATACAAATACACACCACACCACACTTTTCCGGATATTTATTTGTAAAACAAAATTGTGCCACTTTGTGTTGGTTTATCACATAAAATGCCAATAAAATACATTTACGTTTTTGGTTGTAACATGACAAAATGTGAAAAATTTCAAGGGGTATGAATATGAGTGCTGAAGCTTAATTTCCCTTGACTCCTTCACGTCTGTCTATGCAGGTTGAGGTACACAGCCATGTCGCTGATTTTGCTAAACTACCACTGCAAAGATCATGTTGTTTGTTACATTTTTTAGTTTATTTTAGTGTGTTCAATGTCAGATTTGATTTTATTGCTTTTATTTTTAGATCTTTAAAATGATATGTCTTGTCATCTGAAGAAAAAATAAACCCAACGATTTACTGTTTCCCAAAATAATTACATTTAAGGCATGCCCTGGCGGTACCTGTCACATTGCCAGCTTATGTCGGCTCTAAACTTTCAAGCTTTTCAAATGGCTGATGTCATAGCTGATCACATGTGCAGCACCATGGCACCTGCAGACCAAAATAGAGGCTAAGATGGCACTGCCTCCAGGTGCAAAAGGATAGGAGGGTGTATTTCCCCATTTAAAGCTGAATTTCAAGCAGATGTAAAAGCACAAAGTGATGCAGTTCTGTGTTTATTAATACATTATTCAATGTGTTTTTTAAATGCAAGGAGCATAAGTTCCTGAGTTTGACAGCCTCTTGTAGTCCCTGTACAGCAGAGCTCAGACTGTGCGAGGAAGAAACAGCACAAGGAGCCAATAAGGCTCCATGTACACGGAACGTTTGGAAAACTCTTCTGAACAATGGAAACTGACTGCTGGAAAACGTAGGTTAAAAAACATCTGTTCAGCCGCGTTTGCATACCACGATTATACGTGTTTACGAGCATTTTGCGTTTAGAAGCGTTTTTTAAAGATAACCTCAGGAGACCCTCCAAAATGCCCAGAAGCAGAGAGAGCAGTATGTGTTGAGATGACCTGTCTTTTCTGGTTGTATTCACTATGGATCCCATCATGAGCATAATGCGGCACGTTCTACCATTATTTCCTTCACGCAAAACCTGGAACTGACTGCGCTGGTGTACCGGGTCCATCTGAATACATGGAAAACGCTTTGCTTGCATTTCTGATGATGAAAAAAGACTCTGGACAGCAGCTGGACATGGAACAGCTAAAAAATGCTTATAAATGCGGTTAGCCGCGTTTACAAGCATTTGGCATTTGAAACGCTGATAAAATCTAATCCTGAATGCAAGTTTGGTGTGTTCAAAAAAAATGACTGTAAACTCAACTGCCTGTAAATGACTATGAACAACATAGTGTACATGGACACATAGGAAAACATTAGGGAGAGTTCAGGGGCTGCTGAAAAAAAATGCAGAAAAGCTCCTGAATGTTAGTTTATCAGCTGCAGTGTACATGGAGCCTTAAGTTGTGCTGCAGTGTTATGTGCTAACGAGAATGCTGATAGGAGGGGCAATCAGGGTGACAAAGATGAGCTCATCACACAGGCCACAGACTGGGGAAGGGACAAGATCCATAAGTGTTACTGGTGATCGTTGTCACTGAGACAGGAAGTTATCAGAAATCAAGAATTGTCATGAGAGCAAGAGGTGATAGTATATCTTCACATGGAACAAATGTTCTGGTGCAAACTGGCAAAAGCCAGCCATACATGGGTTGAATTCCGAAAGAATTTTCTTTTTGTTCAAATTTCGTGGTCCACATCAACTGCCGATTTTCAAGTGACCATCGAATTTGAGTGATCGGGCATGTTGGAAATTTTTTTAAAAACCGTAAAAAAGTCTAATCGATGGGAGAATCATGCTGACCTGGAAAGAAAAGTAAATTCTTGGCCACGAAAATTCTTTTCTGTAGCAACATGAGGTGAAATTAAAGGCTTGGTTGGTCGAATTTCGAAATCAGTGGGTGCACTATCGGATTTTCTGAAGAAAATTTGTTTGAAATTTGACCCATGTATGGCCTGCAAAAGATGAGCATTCCCCCCACTTTGATTTCCTCTCACTTCCTGTTGCATTTACAACACAGGAAATATCCCCAGCAGGACACAGGTGGCAAATAACTGAAAAAGAAACGTTTGAGGAGAACACCTTGTTCGCCCTCCTTGATGGTCCATCCTCACCCCCAGTCCCATCCTTGTTTAAGGCAGGGAGATGTATGAGCCTGTGAAAGGCCACTATTCAGAGGTGATTTACCCCCTCAATGAGCTGGTCTGAGCCTGTGTGGTTCCATATTGTGGGGAATACACCAGCCTGAGTTCTCTTGTCTGCGGCTGGTGGGTGCCAAGTCTCTATTGGGTAGCTGCTAGTGCCTATTTTGGCCATGCCTGCTAGGGATGTTGGGGTGAATGCCCAAAGACCGTTTCGGTAGCTTTCCTCCATTGCAGCTCTTGCTATGGTCAACACAGGGCCAGATATCATCTCTGGTGGTGACCGGGGTCTGTGTCTCCAGTAAAATTAAGTCTTGGCTCCTCGTCTGTGTAATTTTTTTTTAGTAGACTTTTCTCTGGGGTTTGCCTTTGACATGGAGTCCCTTGGTGGTCGGCTACAGGGGTCTTAGCATGGTTGGCTGTATTTCATCCTTGGCAGGTACTGTTGTATTTGAGGGGTTACCTTGAGGGTCAGGCTGTATATAAAATCTGATTGCTTGTTCTGTTGGTGATAGGTCTAGGCTTTTGTAAAGACCTAGGCACATGGCTAATCATAAGAGTGTGGTAATGCCAAGATGCCCTGGCCATGCTGAACAGAATGACTAATCTTTAAAAAGGTAGAGCAGCACCTGAAGCTAATCAGATTAGCAGCAAAAGTTACAAGCTGACAGGAGGAGAGTGCAGAGGGATGACTTTATCAGTCTTCGCTTTCCAGCCAGCGAGCTGGGGGATGGGTGGTGTCAGCAGTGCTTTCCTTAATGGAAACAGAAAAAATGGTGCCCTCCACCTGGCTGTGTTTGAGCCTAAAATGAAGACAGACACAGTTTTTGTTTTATAAAGCTGTATTTACTCACTGCAAGTTATAACATCCAAGTGAAAGATAATGCATCCAAGGTGTCAGGAGAAAAAAATTAAAAACAGAATGACTGAGTTGGAAAAAGGATCACCCCCTTTTGTTGAACCGCATTTTGCTGTAATTCCAGCCTTTAGTCTGTTGGGATATGTTTCTACTAACGTTGCACATCTAGACTTTGCAATGTTTGCCCGCTCTTCTGTGCAGAAATGCTCACATTCAGTTAGTTTGATGGTGACCATTTGTGGACTGCAGCCTTCAAGTTATTCCACAGATTTTCAATGGGGTTTAAGTCTGGGCTGTGACTAGGCCATGCAAGGACTTTCACCTTTTTTCATCTTCAGCCGCTGTGTGCTTTGGGTCATTGTCAGATACCCTTTTCTATACCCGCTATATGTGTGTGCCATCTGTATATTAGGATACTTGCCTAGAGTTCAGCTTTACTGTGAAGTGTCTTCCCACAAGTGATGGAAGTGAAAGCCAGGCCACTGTAGGTGGATTATTACCAGATCGATCCATTCCTAGCAACAATGGTCACCTTTTCTCCATTTTCTGCTGACCTCAAAGCACCTTCTTCTTTCCAGATTACCTCCATATACTGCCTGAAGAGTTGGTCCCCGAGCGGCAGATCACCTTCAGACAAATCATTCCAGTGTCTGTTGTGTCTGGCCAGGGAATCGAGGAGCTCACACACTATATCCGCAGATCGCTGGACGAACAAGCAGAACTAGAGATCCAAGAAACTGCACAGAAAAAAACTGCAAAACCTCCATAAAATAACATCTCCCAGTGTGACAGAGAAAATTCCGACTCCATCCTCCTAATACGCAGCGACCTCTGTGCCTTGTATATTTCTGTGTATGATTTTGTACAGTTAATGTAATGCCCCATTAAAAATGATTTCTTCTAGAACTGATGTCTTGGCTGCTTTTCTCAGCCGGGTAGTGTTTGTTACACTTACATCAACCCATGGTGTGCACTCAGCTCCAGAAGGTTGTACCCCCTTCATGACCAAGCCATTTTTTGCTATTCAGCACTGTGCTAATGGTAATTGTACAGTCATGCAACGCTCTACCCAAACAAAATGTAATTTTTTTTTTCACGCAAGTAGAGCTGTGTTTTGGTGGTATTTGCTAGTCACAAGAAATTTAGAAAAAAAAAGCAACAATATTTTCTATTTGCTAAAAAACAAATCTTCATAAATTCTGTTACATGTCTTTGGTAAAAGAAATCCCAATAAGTGTATATTGATTTGTTTGTGTAAAGGTTATAGTGTCTACAAACTATGGTATAGATATTGGAATTTTTATTATATTATAGATATTTTTTAGTACTACTAATGGCGGTGATCAGCGACTTATCGTGGGACCGTGATAGTGCGGCGGGCAATCTGACACTGGATCGGAACTAACTGCCACTGACATCATCAGTGACATTGGTACAGTGATCAGTGATAATAAAAAGGACTGACACTATACTAATGGCACTGGGCAGGAAGGGGTTAACATCTCGGGTAATCGAGGTTAAAGGCATGCCTAACAATGTGCATTGTGTATTATTTACTGCTTTTTTACTAAATATCTCTCAGTTTCCCTCAGTTTGTCAACACAGGGCTCTGGGCTGTGATTGGACACAGCTAATCAGCAGGTCCCGGTCACGAACCATTGGTTTGGACCTGATGACTAACTTCCGTTGTGTACAATCACACAGCGGGAGTTGGGGGGCGCACATGCCCTGTCTCTAGAAGAGGCCAGTGACATACAAGTATGTCGCTGTGCCTATCCACAGTACATTGCGGGAGGGGGGTGCGCAAGCGCTTAAGTGTCAGGAAAAAAAACCCACCTTGTCTTGTGTTCCTTCAAAGTATGCAGTCAGAGTAGACCTGCCTTGGAAAGCTGCTGGTTACATTTGGAAGCTGACCACACACACATTGAATTTTGGCTAGTCCCCTGAAATTTTGTTCCCTGTTGTCACCAGCCAGTTTGACAAAATTAGATTTTTCACTCAACTTTTGTCAAAGGAGCCGGGCTGAAAATTCTCAGCTGAACAGTGACTGTATCCTATCAAATGTAGTGAGTGCTTCAGTATTCTGATGGCTGCAGGTGTCCGCTGTCCGAATACAATAGCCGGCATTGCAGAGTCGTCCACCTACGCTGGACCCAACTTGGCCCAATGGAAGTATGTATATACCATACCCAACCAATGGGTAGATCTCCACTTGTTTCTGGGTCCAGCACCAAGTGGCCGCACTCCTGCTTGCTGTACACAGGAGGTTGGCCACTTGGCATGGGCACCATTTACAGGATTCTTTGCATGGCATCTGTGGTTCGGCCTCTGCGCATGGGACCTGGAAGCAAATGGAGATCACCAGGGGCATGGGACAGGTATGGTATAGAGCAGCAATGGGCAAACTACGGCCCGGCGGACCTTTTAATCCGGCCCGTGGAGCGTGATACTGTCAGCATGGCTGTCAGGATGTGTGTAGGCGGGGCAGCGTGACGAACGTGAGGGGAGCTAGGCTCCTCTCACAGTCCGCCCTGAAGACCGGAACGGCGCAGGAACACGGCGAGAGGAATGCGCGGAGCAAAGGTAAGTAAATTGACACAGGGGGGGACTTGGGGACTTAATATGGGGAATGAATTACTATAGGGGGGATGAATTACTATATGGGGGGATGAATTACTATATGGGGGGATGAATTACTATATGGGGGATGAATTACTATATGGGGGATGAATTACTATATGGGGGATGAATTACTATGGGGGATGAATTACTATATGGGGGATGAATTACTATGGGGGATGAATTACTATGGGGGATGAATTACTATATGGGGGATGAATTACTATGGGGGAATATTACTATACTTACTATAGATGACACATACACATCATTCATCTACTCTTGGTCCGGCCCCCGGGTCCAATATATGAACCCATTGCGGCCCTCAAGTCAAAAAGTTTGCCCACCCCTGGTATAGAGTATACTGTACAGAGTTACTAGTTCAAGCTGGATCAATGGAACAATATGTAATAAAGCCATTTCCTCTTTAATCACTTGCCCTCCAGAGGATTTACCCCCCTTCCTGACCAGGCCATTTTTTGCGTTACAGCGCTGCGTTACTTTAACTGACAATTGCACAGTCATGCAATGCTGCACCCAAATGAAATGTACGCCTTTTTTTGCCACTAATTGAGCTTTCTTTCAGTGGTATTTGATCACCTCTATTTTTTTTTATTTGCACTATAAAAAAAAAAAAGACCGACAATTTTGAGAAAAAAATTGCTATTAAACATGTCCAGTAAAAAAATTTTATATCAAATTTCAGCATACATTTTGGCCAAAATGTATTCTGCTATGTCTTTGCTGAAAAAAAAAATCCCAAGCTGTCATGCAAGAGAGGTAGTTGAAGGGTTGGAGCAAACCATAGTACACTGGTGGTGGTGCTTAAGGTGATCAAAGACGGAAGGGTTGGGGCTTCACCACCTCAAGTACAGACACTTTCACCACCTTCCTGCCCAGGCCAGTTTTCAGCGCTATCACACTTTGAATGACAATTGTGCGGTCATGCAACACTGTACCCATATGAATGTTTTAGAATTTTTTTTGAGACCGATAAAGCTTTATTTTGGTGGTATTTATTCACCACTGGGATTTTTATTTTTTTTGCTCTATAAATGAAAGTCCAAAAATTTAGAAAAAAAGTTTTTCTTTATTCAGTTATCTTTTTAGTAAAAATAAAATAACCCAAATTAGTTTATAAACAAAAATTATAATTTTTTTTTAATTTTATTTAAATTTTCTATATTATTTATGGGTTTTTTTTAAACATACTGTTACCCTAGCAGTACAGTGTCACCATAGTGACACTGTACTACTTGTGGGGGGGGGGGGGGGGGGGGGTGTGATGATTTTTTTTTTTTTTTACACTGATTGCTTGCAGCCATTGAGAAATACTGTGTGAGCTGTGATTGGTCACAACTTGTCACATGGTACAAGGCTGTTGTGAATAGCCTTGTACCATGTGACCTCTGTGATCATTCACAGATTTCACACGTAGTAAGCAATAATGTCAGAAGTGACATCTTGCTTACTATTTTTCATGTGATCACTGATTGGCCAATCAGTGATCACATGATCGGGACCTCGCACAGAAGTCCTGTACAACGATCGGTGTTCCACTGTGTTCGGAGGACACAGCGGGCACCGGATCGCGGTGCTGCGCGCTCCCAGGGAGCGTGCACAAGCAGGGGGCGGGGAGGCCATTTATAAACGGCCCCTGCCCCTGCGCTGCCACCGTCCAGCCGTTTATATACAACGGCCAGACGGGAGGTGGTTAATCTTAAACTTGGGCCCCCATGTACAGCCTGGGTCCAGGATCCAGGTCCTCTCAGCCATTTCCCTGACTTCTTTGCAGTCTGTGGCAGAGTGATTTCATACTTTTCTTCACATGTTGTCTGCTTCCTGAAGCCCATGCTGCTCAAGTTACCCTTTCTGCTTCATATAAAATATTTTTTGTATATTATATTTTATACAATCTATCACTACTGGGAGCGTTGTGTTTTTCCCATATATGGAAAATTATGTGGTATGAATTAAATGGCGGAGAGCTCAAAGTTGGGACAAAGACATTGAGAGACTCATTTTTAATAAGGACGCATAGGACCTGAAATATGAGTAATGTCCTGCATCTGGTGAGCATGTAATCACACTTAGGTGATGGGTACACAGAGGCCGTTGAAGTTTTGTCACCAGCAATTTTCGGGAGTTGTCTCACATGCATGTAAGGGTGAAGATAATTCAAAAAATTAGATGAGCATATTTGACACTATTTGGTTTTTATTCATTTTTAAGTTTTTTTGTTCACAATTTAATGAAGGTATAATTCTGGTAAATTGTAATTTGCGTTATTTGTATATTGGAGTAAATGCGCAGAATATTTGGTGGCACTGCACTGCCAATATTTGATATAGGATAAAGGATTGCCGTGTCACGTTTTAGAAAATAATTACGTTTGAAAAATCGCTGCGCGAGCACTCTGTGACAGAAAAAATTGCAGCACCCACCATTTTATTCACTAGGATGTTTGCTTTAAAAAAATATATGTTTGGGGTTTCAATTAAGTTCCTAGCAAAAAATACTGATTTTTTTCATGTGAATAAAAAGTGTCAGAAAAGGCTTGGTCTTCAGGTGGTTAGAAGAGTGAATGATGTGTGGCATAAACTTCTAATGCTGGGCATAAAACGCCCCCACCCACCAAAACAACCCCTTTTTGGAAAGTAGACACCCAAACTATTTGCTGAGAGGCATGTTGAATCAATAGAAGAATTTCTTTTTTTACCACAAGTTTTTGGAAAATGACAAACAAAATTTTTTTTTTTTTTTTTGTACACAAAATTCACTTAAATGATTTATTGGTCACACATGCCATGGGTTACTCCCCAAAATACATTCTGCTACGTCTCCTGAGTATGGGGGTACCACATGTGAGAGACGTTTTGGCAGTCTAGCCAAGTACAGGACCCCAAAATCCAATAAGCACCATCAGGCTTTTAAAGGGCTTTATTTCCTCATTACACTTCCTAAATACCTATCACAGTTTAAGCCCTGAAATGCCAGGATAGCACCAAACCCCCCTAAATGACCCCTTTTTGGAAAGTAGACACCCCAAGGAATTTGATCAGAAGCATGGTGAGTATTTTGCAGATCTCGTTTGTTGCCACAAACAAAAACATTTTTTCTTTTCTTTTTTTATATTTCAAAACCTTGTGA